CGGATGCCTCGCGCTGCGCGCCGACCGTTGCAATCGATTCCCCGTTCTCTATCGCCCGCCTTGGGGTTCTGCGTGCCCAGCTTCATGCCCTTGCCCTTCGCCACCTGCAGCGCTGCCTTGGTGCGTTCTCCGCAAAGACGAGCCTCGAGCTCCGCGCTGAGCACCTGCATCGGCCCCGCGACTCCAACGAGGGACCCGCGGGGGCCCACCCTGAAGGAAAGAACTTCCGGGGCGCGCCCAAGAACAGGGGGGGCCCGGCTTCTGCGGAGGAAAAGAAAAATCCCAGGCGAGGGGTTTGAGCGCGGGGGTGCCCCCGCCTCAAATTCCGGAAGAGAAATGAATACTCGGCCGCGGGGGTGCCCGCGCGAGGGGCCCCGCCCCCCCCCCGGCGCAACAAGGAAAGGAAAAACGTGAGAGCCCAGATTGCAAGTGCAATGCAGCATCGCTCTCCTATACTGGTTGCACCAAGGAGTTGCGCGAGTACTAGGGAGTTGTGCCAGGGAGGCCAACTGGGAGTTGCTCTGGGGAGTTGGACTGGCATTAGGGAGTTGCACGGGGAATTGCACTAATGGAACTGCACGAGGGAGTTGCACTGGGGAGTTGCACTAGGGAGATGCACTTGGGAGTTGTACTATTACATTATTTCACTAGTTTGCGCTGCGAAGTTGTACTATAAATTGTATGATTACCAGGGAGTTGTACCCGGCAATTGCACTGATGACTCGCACTAGCACTCGGGAATTGCATCAGTGAGTTGCACTGGAAGTTACTCTCTGTGCTAGGGAATTGCACCGGGGAATTGCACTGGGGAGTTGCACCGGGGAGTCGTGCCAGTGCTAGAGATTTATACTAGGGAGTTACACTAGGACGCACAGTTCTACCAGTTGCAACATGACACACATTGCACTCTAATGTGCTCTCTAGGAGCAACTGCGCGCCAGTACATGATAATACCAATCGTACTCAAATACTTGTTGCGCGGTGGTCGGAAGGGGCCCATGGGCCCCGATGGCAACTCGCGCACGGAAGAAAGAAAGAACTCCATGCGCCGCCAGGGGTCCCGGGTTTAACGGGTCGCCACGAAGGTTGACCCCCCGCGGAAAAAGTAAAAGACATCCGGCGGGGGGGTTGGGGGGGGTCAGGCATGGGTCGCGGGGCTGATGCACCTGCTGGCAGAAGAAGTATCGCCCTGTCGGCGTGGATGCGTCGATGCCGTCGTGCTCGCACAAGAGGAGGCGCACGTTGGCATCTTCCACCGTGATGCAGTCGCGCTTGGACCGGAGCATCCGGCACACCGCGGAGGTCGCCAAGATGGCGCCGTCCGCCTTCGCCTGCGAGGGCGACCCCGGCCACGCCCGCCCACCCGCTACATCGCATTTTATATGTTCAAAGTTTCTCTCTCAAGCCCGCGCCCCGACGGCCGTCGCCAGCTGCGCGCGCCCCCAGAGAGGCACCTGGCAACTCGAGGTCGCTCGCAATCGTCGCCGCGGGGGCGCGTCGACTAAATGCACGAGCGACCCGGGGAATGCAAAAATCACCCCGGCGGGTGCGCGGGTGGGTTGTTTCCTCTCAAGCCTGGGCGATGATGGCCTTCAGTTGCTTCGGCCAAGCTTTTGACTGGCGGGCGGAGACGTCCCGAGTGTGCCACTGAATCACCTTCCACTTCTTCTTGCCGAACTTGCGGTCGAACGTGGACGTGCACGCCTTCGTGGGGGCGCGCCCGTGGATCACACCCAATAGGTGGGGGGGCTCATCGCCGCCCCCCTCTTGCGCTTCCCCCCCCCGAAGCTGCCCCCCCTTCCTGGCGCTTTTTCTTGGCCCCCCTGAAGCCGCTCGCCCCCCCGCCCGCGCCCCTTGCGCGCCCCGGAAACTGCCCCCCCCCCGCCCCCCCGCCCCCCGCCCCCCCCTTCCCCCCCGGGGGGGTGGTAGCCTCGCCCCCCTCAGAAATCTCTCTGCCGGCAACCCCCGATCGCCCCCCCATTGTCTGGCCAGAATGAGGCGGGGCCTCGGGGCCCTCCTGGCAAGAGGAGGGGGCGCCGAGGACCAGCGGCGCAAACTCAAAAAAGGTGGGCAGCTTCGGGGGCCCCCCCGGGCGCCGAAGAGGGGGGTAGCTACCCGGCCCCCCGCCCTTTCGCTAGGGGCTCCCGCGCGAAAACATGGCAGCGATAAGAAATATAAAAAATGGGGGGGCGGCTGGCGTCGGGGGCCCCGCCCCTTTCTGGGGGGGGGGGGGGGCGGGCGGGATCGAGGCTGGGGCCGCCCTGTTATAGCGGGGGGTGTTCCACGGCGCGCACTTTCGCGCCTTCCGCTGCGCAGTCAGCGAATACGCCTGGTCGCCATCCCTCCTTAAAGTCTCTCCTGGGCTCTTCCCCAGGACGACGTGGAGGAGCGCGGGCGTCTTCTGCGCGAGTCCGGCTGGTCGACGAAGCACCCCCATGGCGTCGAGGTGGTGCGCCAGGCTGAGACGAATGGGATTAAAGCCGATTGCAACCGCTTCGGGCCGTTCACGAGCTACTTCGGGCGGATTACAACCGCCGAGCAGGGGCCGATCGCATCGCGATGAATTCGGAAAGAGCGCACCCGCAGCGCGGGAGCAAGGGGGGGGGGGGCCTTAGCTACCCCCCCCTGCAGCCCCTTCTGCTGCCCCCTTCCCCGCCTTTTCGCCCCCCCCCCCCCCTCCTCCCTGAAAATCCCCCCCCCCCCTCCCCTTTTCCAAAGGCAGGGGGGGGGGGCATGCTTCCCCCCGCCCCCCCTTGCCCCCTCTGCTGGAAGCGACCCCCCCCCATCCCCCCTTTGGTTTCAAAGGTTGGGGGGGGCGGAGGGGCGTCTTTCCCAAACCAAAAGGGTCTTCCCAAACCAAATTCTGGTTCGGGTGACCCAAGTCTTGGTTTAGGAAGACCCGGTTTGGTTTGGGAAGACCCGGTTGGTTTGGGATGGCCCGCTTGGTTTGGGCAGACCCGGGCCTCTTGGTTCGAGAAGACGCGGTTGGTTTGGGGAAGCGCGGTTGGTTTGGGAAGATCTGGTTGGTGGTCTGGGAAGACCCGGTTGGTTGGGGAAGACCCGGCCGTTGTGCTTTGGGAGGACCCGGGTGGTTTGGGAAGGCCCGTTCGGTTTGGGAAGACCCGGTTGGTTTGGGAAGACCCGGCCGTTGTGGTTTTGGAAGACCTGGGTGATTTGGGAGGGCCCTTTCGGTTTGGGAAGACCCGGTTGGTTTGGGATGACCCGGCCGTTGTGGTTTGGGAAGACCCAGGTGGTTTGGGAGGGCCCGTTTGGTTTGGAAGACCTGGCCGTTGTGGTTTGGGAAGACCCGGGTGGTTTGGGAAGGCCCGTTTGGTTTGGGAAGACCCGGTTGGTTTGGTCTGCTGTGCTCCCGCGGTCGCTGCCGTGCTGCTGCGTGGTCTGCAGTGGTACTCTGTGCTCTGCCGTGCTGCTTTGTGTTCTGCCCTGTTCCTTCGTGATCAGCCGGGTTCCTGCGTGCTCCGCCGTGCCCCTGCATCGTCAGCCGTGCTTCTGCCTGGTCGGCCGCGAATATGTTTGGTCTGCCGTGCGCCTGCGTGCTCAACCGTGCTCCTGCTCAATCTGCCACGGTCCGCGCGACCCGGGAAGCGAATGCACCCGCGGAGCAACGAAGGGAAGCGAAACGAAACGAAATCGAGAGCGAAACGAACACGAAACGAAGGCGAGAACGAAGGCGAGAACAAGGGCGGAAACGAAAGCTAAACAAAGGTGAAGCGAAGGCGAGAACGAAGGCGAGAGCGAGGGCACAAAGGACGGCGAAACGAAGGCGAGAACCAGGACGAAAACGAAGGCGACACGACGGCGAGAACGAAGGGAGGAACGAGAGCGGAAACGAAGGCGAAACGAATGCGAAAGAAAAGCGAAAACAAAGACAGCAATGAGGACGGAACTTGACCGAAACGAAAGTGAAGCGAAGGCGAGCAAACATTGCGGAAACTACGTCGAAACGAAAGCGAGAACAGAAACAATAACAAGCGCGAAAACGGAACGAAACAAAGGCGAAACGAAGGCAAGAACGAAAGCAGAAACAGAGGCGAAACGAAAGCGAAACGAAGGCGAGAGCGAAGGCGAGAACGAGCGGAAACGATAACAAACACGAAAACGAAACTAAGGCGAGAACTACGAGAGAAGACCCAGAGAAACGATCTGAGGGTATAGAACCCGGGGGGGAAGCCTGCCCTAGGCCCTACCGAAGGCCCTAGGGTAGCCTACCCTAGGCCCTACCCAAGGGATTAGGGTAGCCTAGGGTAGACCCTACCCAAGGCCCTAGGGTAGCCTAGGGTAGGCCCTACCCAACGCCCTAGGGTAGGCCTAAGGTAGACCTAGGGTAGGCCGCTACCCAAGAGCCAGACCTAGTGAAGGTCTAAGCATGGGCTTAGGGTAAACATTGAGGGAACGGCTACAGGTAGGCCGACCCTAGCCCTAGGGGGGAGGCCTAGGGCTAGGCCGAGGGTAGACCTAGGGGGAAGTCCTAGGGGGTAGGCCTAAGGGTAGGCCTAGGGTAATGCCCAGGGTGTAGGCCTAGGGGTAGGCCTAGGGTAGGCCTAGGGGAAGTCCTAGGGGGTAGGCATAGAGTAGGCCTAGGGGGTAGGCCTAGAGGTAGGCCTAGGGTAGGTCTACGAAGGTCTAGGGGGAATGCCTAGGCTAGCCCTAGGGTAAGCCTAGGGGGTAGGCCTATGGGGTAAGCCTAGGGTATGCCTAGGAAGCAGGCCCAGGGGTGAGCCTAGGGTGAGCCTAGGTGGAAGGCCTGGGGGGTAGGCCTACGGTAGGCCTAAGGGAAAGGCCGAGGGGTAGGCCTAAGGCAAGCCTAGGGGATAAGCTTAGGGGTAAACCCAAGATAAACCTAAGGAGTAGGACTACGTGTAAGCCTAGGAAAGCAAGCCCTAAGGGGTAGGGCTAAGGGAAGCCTAGGGAGGCCCAGGTCAGGCCTAGGGGGTAGGCCCAAGGGTGAGGCACCTTAACGGGCGGGTCGGGCCAGGCGGGCGGGACCTCAAAGCGTCATGCATCATCGAATGGACACGCGAGCACCCTAGTGGGTCGGGTCGAGACGGGGCGGGTCGGGTGGACCCTAACAGGGCGGGTCGGGTCGGGCCGGGCGAGCCCTGCTTGGCGGGTCCGGTCGGGCGGGCGGGGCATTAAAATATCATGCGACATCGAGTGGACACGCGAGAACCCTAACGGGTCGGGTCGCGTTGGGTCGAGCGGACGCTCACGGGCGGGTCAGGTCGGGCGGGACATTAAAGTATGACGCATCATCGAATGGACACGCGAGAAGCCTAACGATTCGGGTCGGGAAGGGTCGGATCGGGCGAAGCGAGACCGTTCGCCCGGACGCCCGTTCGCCCAGAAGCCCGGTCGCCCGGAAGCCCGATCGCCCGAAAACCCGGAGGCTCGTTCGCCCGGAGGCCCGTTCGCCCGGAGGCCCGTTCGCCCGGAGGCCCGTTCGCCTGGAAGCCCGTTGGCCTGGAGCCTGTTCGCCCAGAGGCCCGTTCGCCTGGAGCCCGTTCGCCCGAAGCCCGTTCGCCTGGACCCCGTGCGCCCAGAGCCTCCTCCGCCGCTGCCGCTGGCGACGCCGGCGCGGAGACTACGGACCCAATTCCTCCCCCTGCTCCTCCGGCTCGTCCCTCCCCTCCTCCTCCTCCCCCCTCCTCCTCCCCTCTCCCTCCTCCTCCTCCTCTCCTCCTCCTCCCCCTCCTCCCCTCCTCCTCTCTCCTCCCCCATCCATCTCCTCCTCTTCCTCCGCCTCCTCCTCCTCCTCCTCCTCCTCCTCCTCCTCCCTCGCCCTCTTCCTCCCTCCCCATGCCCCTCCCTCCTTCTCCTCCGCCTCCTCCCCGCCCTCCTCCTCCTTCCGCCGTTTTCCTCCTCCTTCGCCGTCGCCGTCGCCGCTCCCGTCGTCGCCGTCGTCGACGCGGCCGCGGGGACGCAAGGGGAAAAAACAACAACAACAGGAGGAAAAGGAGGACGACGTCGCCAGCGACGGGCAGGTCGGGTCGGGTCGGGCGGGCGGGCCCTAACGGGCGGGTCGGGTCGGGCGGGACATTAAAGCGTGGTGCATGATCGAGTTCACACGCGAAAGCCCTTACGGGCGGGTCGGGTCAAGGCGGGTCGGGCGGGTGGACCCGAACGGGCGGGTCGGGTCGGGCGGGCGGGGCATTAAAGTGTGGTATTTGTTCGAGTTGACACGCGAGCACCCTGATTGGCGGGTCAGGTCGGGTCGGGTCGGGCGGGAAAATGCCTAACAGGCGGGTCGGGTCGGGTCGGGCGGGAGGACCCGAATGGGCGGGTCGGGTCGGGCGGGCGGGACACTAAAATGCGGTGCTTGATCGCCTTCACACGAGAAAACCCTAAGAGGCGGGTCGGGTCGAATCGGGTCGGGCGAACGGACCCTAAAGGGCGGGTCGGGTCGGGCGGGCGGGACATTAAACTGTGGTGCATGATCGAGTTCACGCGCGAGTGCCCTAACGGGCGGGTCGGCTCGGGTCGGGCGGGCGGACCCTAACGGGCGGGTCGGGTCGGGTCGGGCGGACCCCAACGCGCGGGTCGGGCCGGGCGGGCGGGACATTAAAGTGTGGTGCGTGATCGAATTCACATGCGAAAACCCGAGCGGGCGGGTCGGGTCAGGTCGGGCGGGCGGACCCTATCAGGCGGGTCGGGTCGGGTCGGGTCGGGTTGGGCGGACCCTAACGGGCGGGTCGGGTGGGACATTCTCGAGTTCACACGCGACAGCCCTAACGGGCGGGTCGGGTCGGGTCGGGCGGGCGGACCCTAACGGGCGGGTCGGGTCGGGTCGGGCGGGCGGGCCCTAACGAGCGGGTCGGTTCGTTCGGGCGGGACATTAAAGTGTGGTGCATGATCGAATTCACACGCGAAAACCCAAACGGGCGGGTCGGATCGGGTCGGGCGGGCGGGCCCCATCGGGCGGGTCGGGGGGTCGGGTCGGGCGGGCATACCCCGACGGGCGGGTCGGGTCGGGCCGGGCGGGCCGACCCTATCAGGCGGGTCGGGTCGGGTCGGGCGGGGGAATCCCTAACGGGCGGGTCGGGTCGGGCCGGGCGGGCGGACCCTAACGAGCGGGCCGGGGCGGGCGGGCAGGACATTAAAGTGCAGTGCGTGATCGATTTGGCACCCGAATACCCTAACGGGCGGATCGGGTCGGGTCGGGTCGGGCGGGTGGACCCTAACGGGCGGCCCGGGTCGGGCGGGAGGAACATTAAAGCGTGGTGCATGATCGAGTTCACACGCAAGTGTCCTGACAAGCGGGTCGGGTCAGGTCGGGCGAAACATTACAATGTGGTGCATAATCGAACGGGCGGGTCGGGTCGGGATGGGCGGGCGGACCCTATCGGGCGAGCCGGGTCGGGTCGGGCGGTACGTTACAGTGTGGTGCATTATCAAACGGGCGGGTCGAGTCGGGCGGGTGGGACGTCATCGAGTTCACGCGCGAAAGCTCTAACGGCGGGTCGGGTCGGGTCGGGCGGGCGG